TTGAACTTGCTTTGTAGTTGAGGAGGAACTGGAACTCTTGCCTCCACCCCCTAAGCACTGTGTTTGTTTTTGTGAGAGGGTCTTGCCATGTTATCTGGGCTAGCATGGAACTCATGGTGGTTCTCCTGCCTCTGCAACCTGAGTACTGGGATCACAGGCATGGGCCTTTTTAACATAGTGCCCGTTCCTTGATGCATGCAATGTGACCTCAGGAATAACCTGTGATTCCTAGAAGACCTAGAGAACATATGTGAACCCTTCTCCTCTTTCCTGGTGAATTAAGTGCTTTGTAATCATTTTGGTGTATGTATTTTTGTTTTGTTTTTTCCCTGTGGTTTTATGAGACAGTTTGTCTATAGTTCCAGCCCAGAACTTGCTGGACTTTGTAGTTTTACACAAGATCTTTCTCTTTCTTCCTTCCTTCCTTCCTTCCTTCCTTCCTTCCTTCCTTCCTTCCTTCCTTCCTTTCTTTCTTTCTCTCTCTCTCTTTCTCTCTTCCTTCCTTCATTCCTTTCTTTCTCCCTCTCTCTCTTTCTTCCTTTCTTTCTGTCTGTGTAGTCGTGGCTGTCCTGGAACTCACTATGTAGAGCAGGCTTGCCTCAAACTCAAAGATTCACTTGCCTGTGCTTCCTGAGTATTGAGATGAAATGTGTGCACCATTGCATACACATGAAATATACAATGCAGTGCTTGTATTAATTGGTATTTTCTACCTTAGTATAATTACTGAAGTATGTAATTTAAGTGGCATACATACATGAAGGTGTGTTTTATATTGGCAGCTAGATTTTGATCAGAGAGCAGTTTGCTTTATTTCTTCCTTCCCTCCCCCTCCTCTCTCTCTCTCTTTCTCTGTGGGTGTGTGCACTGGAGTGTGGGCCTATCGTGTGCAACCCTGAGACCCTGCTGTCCCCGTGTACTCATCCGGCCTGTCAGGGAGGAGCAGTAGCTTTCTGGGCACCATGCTGCTGGCCAGGGTTTGCCCACCTTGTACCCTGCCCAGTGTTCCTCCACTTGTGCTCACATAGCGACTCCTCTCTGGGCCATGGCAGGCCCTTCTGTGTCACTGACTTGTCTGATACTGACGTGGGTTTATGAACCTATGTTCCCTGTTAACATGGGAACACCAAGAATCCATGGTCTAGTCACCACAGCTCTGGGCTGAACAACTGTCGAATGCATTCATGAATGGTGGTGTAGACATTAGGTCTCTTGCCTTCATCCATTCTCTTTTACTGAAAATGTGAATGTACAAGGCACCAAGTGATTTTCTTTGTTGTTTTAGCCTCTGCTTGCTTATCTAGACAAAGCGATGTCAGTTTCATAGCAGTAGAGAAGAAGGGTGACAGGGTCCTCATTTTCTTGTCCACACCCCATGAAGTCAAGATGCACAGATAACTTTCAGTCCATAACAAATAGTGTACTAGGAAAATCTGTTTGTTTAAGAAAAAGTTAAAATCTGGTATGCTTATTTAGGGTGGATACAAGAACTGCCTGAGTGGGCTGTACACCTGTGATCTCATTGCTTGAAAGGCAGGAGGATCAGAAGTTCAAGGCCAGTCTCAGCTACATAGTTGGTGCTAGACTAGCCTGAGCTACAAGAGACTGTCTCCAAAAACCTCTAAAAAGAGTAGATCTGAAGAAAACAAACTTCTAGAACCAGAAAAGGCTTCACTGTCATATTCCTGCTGTTAATGACATCTCTCTCCATTCATTGTGCATTTTTTCGTGGTACAAATAAAACCATCTGAGTCCTTGGGAACATGGCCCGCAGGTTGCTGTGTATTTCTGAGGCTGTTGCTGCTAAACCCTGCTTTGTTGACTTGTGAATCGTTGGCCTTTTTTGGCTCCTTGCTTGCTTGTTTGAGACAGGGACTCATGTAGCCCAGGCCAGGCATTAACTGGTTTTGTAGCCAAGGTTGACTTAGAACTCCTGAACCTCCTGCCTCTATCTCCCAAGTGCTGGGATTACAGGTATATGCCACCATGCCCTGCTTTCTCAACACTTTTTTTTTTAGATTTGGTTTTCTTTATATTTTTGTGTAAGTATATGCTATGTTTGTGCTGGTGCCTGCAGAGGCCAGAAAGGGCATTGGATCTCCTGATGCTGGAATTACAGGAAGGTTGTAAACTTCCTAATTTGGGTGCTGGAAGCAGACCTCAGGTCTTTTGGAAGAGCAGCAAGTATCCTTAACAACTGAGCTATCTCTCTAGCCTCCTACTTTTTAAAAATGTATTTTTATTGTCTATATTTAAGGTAGGCAATATAACGTATTTTTTGTTTTTGTTTTGAGACAGAATCTTACTATGTAGCTCCAGCTGACCTGGAATGCTCTATCCAGATCAGGCTAGCCTCAAACTCTCAGAAACCCATCTGCCTCTGCCTCTGGATACTACACCCAGCCCTGCAACATTATGTTTTGACATATAAGGTTATATAGGGCAGAGAGCAGTTGACAGAGGTTGACCTGATATTTATAGACTCATCTAGTTCTTAAAAAAAAAAAGCCAGTGGTGGTGGCACACATCTTTAATCCCAGCACTCAGGAGGCAGAGGCAGACAGATATCTGTGAGTTGAGGCCAGCCTGCCTGGTCTACAGAACAAGTTCTAGGACATCCATGGCTACACAGAGAAACCCTGTCTCGAAAAAACAAAAACAACAGCAAAAAAGTAAATAAATACCAGTCTGATTAAAGTTAATTAATTATTAATTAAAAGAATCATCTAGTCTTGTGACTCCAGAACTGATTAGGCATTAGAATTACCTAGGTTGGAACAGCTATGATGTGAAACACACCACACATATTATCCTGTCCTCCCATCCCTTCAAATGTAGTTGCCCTCGGTATCTGTGCAGTGTTGTTCCAGGCCTCTAAGGACTCCGAAATGCAGATACATTCTTGTTTTGCACGTCATCTGTACATCCCTTCACATGCGCTAAGTCATCTTTAGATTACTTAGAATACCCAATATGATTAAAATGTGGTATGAGTAATTGTCAGACCACATTGCTCAGGGAATAATTAAGGGAAAATATCAGGGGTGTGGACCTGGGTTTGGGACTGGATGTGTGTGTCCCTTGTGATAGTGAGTGCTGTGGGGCAGACGAGGAAGGAGGCAAAGAGGCAGAGATGAAGGCTTCTGAGGGGGCAATGTTTACCTTGCAACTGGAAATATTAGGGAAGGGCATTTGGGCAGGAAATGGGGAATGTGTTCCCAGGATTAAAATCAGGCGAGTGTGGTTTGACCAGTGAGTGACTAAGGGAAGAGCTGGTCTTACAGCAGGGAGGCCTTGCAAGCGCCCTCAAGACAGCCCTTAACTCTCCTGGGACCTGAGAGCTCTGTGTGGAAAGCGGGTTGCAGAGCTGCTAAGGCAACAGCCAGATCGAGACTGTTCCCTGATGACCGGTGGGGCCAAAGCAGAGGCGCTGAAGATGAGGGGCAGAGGAAGTCATGGGAAGGCAGCGGGGGAGTGGGCTGAGGGAGCAGAGAAAGGGCACCACGGGAGGGCCTGCCCCAGTGCTCTGGCTGCCTCCTGTGTGGAGAGGCGTGTGATCAAACAGCGTGGTACACACTTCAACGTGGCCTGAATTCTAGAGCCGGTGTGGGTGGTGGCGATTAATCCACTTCAGCAGCAATCCAAGACGATGAGCCAAAGCTGAGCCTTTGGTTCTGTATAGGTCTCTCTGCCGAGCCGCCGTCCTTTAGTACCATTGACCTTTGTGTTGATGTCCTCATGGCACGTGGGGACTCACACTTACCATAGTCATGCTGCACCAGGCATGATAAGTTGCTGTGGTTTTCTGTGTCTCCTAGAATTCCAGATTATGTGAGCTGCCCATAAACGATACCATTCCAGATAAAATACAGAGCCTAGCTGGTGGGAGGAAGGCGTGACTGGAAGAAAGATGTTTGGTCTCTAAGCAGTCAGAGACATGTCTTTGGGAATGGGGACGTGTCCTGTTGTCCAGATGCCTGCTCGTCTAAAGCAGGCGCATGCCCTGCCCAGCTATTACCGGAAGCGATAGGTCACCGTGTGCCGGGAGAAAGAACAGAGGAAAGCTGAGAATGTCGGGCTGACTCCCCCAGACTGTCAGGGTTCTAGTGATACATCTCAAAGAAGTGTTTGAAGTGCTTCTATCTGTCAGTTTCAACTAAGCTAATTTTAAAAACTGCTCTTTGTACTCTGCCTTTCTCATGAACCTCTGTGAGTTTAATGCACACAATATGTGGGAGAAGCCCGTCAGCCTCAGCTCCCATCCCCCAGAGCCTGAGAAGTGGGTTTTAGAAGTACACGATTACACCTGCAAGGATCTGTCATTTCATGAAACGGGACCTGAGACCATTTTCACCACATTTTCTAGGAAAGCACTTCAGGAGGAGGTGAGAGAAAGTGCCGAACCCGCCCTCCGATGCCCCTGTTTAGTTGCACGTCAGACAAGGCAGGGAGGACTGTTCCTCATTACCAGGGAATGGGAGTCATTCCCAGATTTGTGTGATTGGGATTCCAAAGCATTGCTGTATCCAATGGCCTTATTAAATCCAAGTGTCAGAGCAGCCTTTCAGACTGTAGGGGAGCTCTCAGTTACAGCTGGTGACCTGGTTCTAGTTACCACACAGAGATGCTGGCTAGAGCAGTGGCCCCCTCCGAGGGCCCAGAATTCCATGTGCCTGGCTGTTAGCAACTATTCTGGATTTGGGGTTTTCTTGGCTCACCTCATGAGCCCCGGTATGCACAGTGCCATGTGTGTGTCGTCACTGGGACCTGTAGACTCCAAGGGGAAGTCCCCCAGTGGCCCAGCAAGCTGATGCCAACAGTGTCCAGCGTTGCAGGGCACCTCTTTGCAGATTCACTCAACCCAGCGGGCCGCCTGGGATCTAGCAAAACACAATCCATTCTAGTTTGGTCCAAACAAAACAAATAAAACATTCACCAGAGAGGGAGGAAACTATAAATGTTGCCAGAAAATTAGTATGCTGTTTTTTCCCTTCTTCTAGAGTGTTTCACAGCCAATGGTGCAGATTATAGGGGAACACAGAGCTGGACAGCACTGCAAGGCGGGAAGCCATGTCTGTTCTGGAACGAGACATTCCAGCATCCGTACAACACGCTGAAATATCCCAGCGGGGAAGGTGGTCTGGGTGAGCATAACTATTGCAGGTAAGATGCCGCATAGCGCCATGACCTTTGGTTCTTCTAGCTCCGTCCAGCCCATCTCTAGCAATGCTTTCTTATCTCCCCTTGGCCAACTCGGAGAACCAGAGCTGGAGAGATGGCTCAGTAGTTAAGAGCACAGGCCTGTTTTCCAGAGGACCCAGCTTCGATTCCCAGAACCCACAAAGCAGCTCCGAATAGTCTGTGACTCTAGTTCTGGGAGATCTGACGCCTTCTTCTGGCCTCTGCAGGCACTGCATATTGTGCACAGACAACTGTACAGGGAAATACACCCAAGAAATTAAAAGCACATAAAAGTGAATCAGTCTCCTCCTCTTTCTTCCTCTCTCTCTTTTTTTTCTCCAGCTTAGTTTGCTTCCATACTGACTTTCAGAGCAGTGTCGTGCCTGGCCCCTCTCTTGTCTCTTTGGGAGGATTTTCTCAGGCAGTTCTTTCATGGGCATCAAAGATGCTGAAGATGCTCAGCCCACCTGGGACCCAAACCTCCCTCTGCCGTGTTACTTAGGCTGTACTTGAACTCCTGAATTAAAGTACTCTTCAGCATCCCAAGCAGCTGAGCAACAGACATGCGCCACTGTGGGCTCCAGCAAGGAGTCCTGATCTCACCCTGTGGTCTTCGGGTGTATATTTATGTTTCTTTGGGAGGTGTGTCACAGCTTTGATCAGGTTCTCAGTTATCTAAGATTAAAGACAGATTGACAACTACTAAATTGCCCAGAGGTTAAGGTGCCTCCTGTGCAAAAGTGAGGTTCAGAGTTGGGACCCTGAGAACCCAAGTAAATGCTGGGTTGTTGTGAAAGTCCACCTGCATTCTAGTGCTCAGAAGGTAGAGATGAAATTCGTGTGCTACCTAGTGACTAGCCATAGTGACTAGCTTGAGTTCAGTGAGAGACACTGTCTCAATGAATTATGTGAAGGTCAATGGAAATAGCCTTCAAAGTCAACCTCACACCACCATCACCACACACACACACACACACACACACACACACACACACACACACACACACACACACGAACAGACAGAAAGATTAAAACAAAATTACAAGTTTCTAGAAACCAGAGCAAAAATTCCAAGCGCCTTGTTTATTATACCTTTCAGCTCCTTACACCCAAGATTGTGATAAGATGACTCAAGGTGCAGCAATGTGCTGAATTTAATCATTCTTGGGACAGGTGCAAGGCTGCCTCTTGCGCCATTAGGACAAGAAAGAGTGACTGAGAGTCCTGCTCTGAGTTCCGCACTGGGACTCTGGTTTGTTGGTACATGAACGATCTCAACCACAGGGCACTGTTGACCCAGCTGAGCCAACATATATATTTCTGCATTGTGTGGGCCACTCTGTTTGCTTTCCATCCTCCACACGCCCAAGCCCACTCTCCAGGCCTTTGGGGCTGTCTTGACATTACTGTAGTCCGTGTCTTTTTTTGCCTTTCCCCTCAGCTCTTTCCATGACCTCGATCCTAACTTGCATCAGTGACTAGCCCCTTGTTTGCTGCCATGGTCTCTCATCTGCACTGTAAACGATGAAGAGTTTGGTACAGTCCAGGCAGGGTTGTGTGCACGCCTATAACCTCAGCACTTGAGAGGTTATAGAAAGAAGACCAAGAGTCCAAGGTCATCCTGAGTTTGAGGACAGCTCAGGCTACGTAAGCTCATGTCACAAAAACATAAACCAATACAAAGTAAAAGCTTTATTGAGTGTTTAGATAGTTCTACTGTTGCACTTCTCTCCCTGGGCCCTGGCTGGCAAAGCCATCCTTCCACTCTGCTGTCATTTATATTTTTTAAAGATATATTTTATCATTTTAAATTGTTTGTATATGTGTTTGTGTGGGTCTCTGTTGTGGGATTCCCGCCTGGATCCTGTTGCCACTTTAGCCCCCAAATAACACAGGAGACACCATATTAATTATAATGCTGTCAGCCAATGTCCCAGGCTTTTCATTGGCTAGTTCTGTCTTAAGTATTAACCCAGGACTACAAATATATGTTTCTATAAGGACTTACCTTTCCGAGGACAGCATCCTGATGAGTCCTCTCTTCCCCGGGATCACATGGTGACTCCCCACACTTGACTACTTTTCCCAGAATCCTCCTCGACTCCTAGTCCCACCTATCTTGCTTCCCTGTTGGCCAGCAGTGCTTTATTCATTAACCAGTAAGAGAGACATGTACACAGAGGACTTCCCCCATCAGGTCTCCACATGAGTATCATAGAAGACAAGAATTGTCAAGTCCCTATAATTGTAGTTATAGAGATCTGTGAGCTACCCGAGATGGATTCTGGGAACTAGACTCCAGATCTACCAGAAAAGCAGTGTGTGCTTTTAGCCACTGAGCCATCTCTCTAGTCCCTGTCCTTTGTATTTTGTTAGGGTTTCTTATGCTCATTAAGCAATTCTTCACTTTATTGTTTTTATTAATATTTTTTATAAATAAAAACTTGCAGTCTGCTAAGGTGATTTTGTGGGGAAAGGTGCTTGCTGCCATGCCTCATGACCCATGTTCAATGCTCTGAACCCAATGGCTGAAAGAGAAAACAACTCCTACAAGCTTTGTATGAGTGCCATAACACGAGCTCCTTACACAAATGTACATACCCTTACATGCAGACAAGTAAGTGACTATCTAAAAACAATGCTAGGGAGATAGTTTGATGAAGTGCTCGTCCAGAGAGCTGGGTCTAAGTCTCCAGAACCCACATTAAAAAAAGTTCTGCGACTGGAGGTGGTGACACACACCTTTGATCCCAGCACTCTGAGTTCAAGCCCAGCCTGGTCTACAGTGTGAGTTCCAGGACAGCCAGGGCTATACAGAGAAACCCTGACTTAAAAAACAAGCAAATACCTCCCCTCCCAAAACAAGAGTTCTGCATGGTTATACTCTTATAATCCTAATAGTGGGAGACAACGGCAGGCAGATTCCTGGGGCTTCTCGCTCACCACAGGCAAGTGAGAGAAACCCTCTCTTAAAATTTAAAAAAAGATGGTCTGCACCTAAAGCATAGCACTCAGGGTTGATCTGGTACAAGCATACACATGAACATGTGCTCACACACACTCATGAACCCAAACATCCGTGTGCACACAGACGAACAAGCACACATACTCATGGATGCACAGACAGGTGAACATGTCTATACACACTTACCCCACTCCATTACTCCATTTCTGTTATATTCCCTTCCTTTCTGTTCACAGGAATAGTTGGGTTGGGAAGGGTGGAGAAATGAGTAGGGTTTTTTGTTGTTGTCTACTTGTTTTTATCTTTTTTTCTTACATGGCCACTTGATGTCTCCTAAGGTGTTTTGCTGTGCTTCACTTTCTTTGCAATACTGGGGAAATGTTCTGCCACTGTGCTGTCCCTGAGGTGTTTCCTGATAGTTTAGTTTACCTTGTTACTCTCTAAACATTCTCAGATCTCAGAAGAACTATTTTAAATTTGACTAGATGAGTGCCCATGTCTACTTACAGGCTTACAGGAGAGCATCCATAAACATACCAGAGGGCTGTACCCGAGGGCTTCAAGCACCTTCCCCCAGTGTCTTACCCCTTACCTCCTTGGGCTGCAGCCCTCTGGTTTGATGGAATGTACCAGACCTGAATTACCAGTTTATACTTCAAAGGGAGAGAGGCTGAACCTCTCATGTTGATGGTATCACACCAGTCCAGGCCTTTTGCTGTAGCGTGCAGAGACATAAGGATGGGTCTGCCTGCTCTTTATTAAGCTCTCCCAGTGCTTTTCAGAATGGCTTTGGCATTGATAATAAACACTTGTTGTCTAAGGGTTTTGTCCAACACTACATCAAAGCTGACTCGGAACAGAGGGAGGAAGATGCCGGTGAAGTTCTGTTTAAAGAAGGGCTTTGTACAAGCTCTGCCACTTTGATTTCTCAGTTGACATCCGACACCGTGCTTGTCTTGTGGGACTTTTCAGACCGTCTCATCTGATATGTCTACACGCTATTGAGTGATGGGAACAGGCTTCTCCTGGCTGGGTCTGAAGTATCTAGATTAGAGGGGGAGGCAGAGCCAGGGAAGAGTGGAGTTGTCAGTCACACCTGCCTTTGGGCACAAAAAGAAAAGAATCCTTTGTGCCTGGGAAGCTTATCATCGAGGCCACACAATGGGCTTGTCCGCTCAGGCCCATAAGCCTGCTGCAGAGCTCCACCAGGGTGGGTGTGGGGGCTGTCCTCATGCCCATTTCCTGCCTAACTGGAGTGTCAGGTTTCCAGTATTGTGTGTCTAAATACAAGGGGCCTGGGAAGGGGTGGAGAGAGGCTGGCTTGTCTCTGCGCCCGGCTGTCCTGTCATTTGTAGAACTCCTCCACCAGCATAGCTCTTTTGAAGGTCGTTTACTCCAAGCTGCTCTCACTTGAGAATGTGGAAATAAATCTTTAAAAATCACGATGGTCACATTAGAAGTCAGCGTCCTGACTGAGAAGCCTCTGTGGGGGCCATGTGGTGATGCAGGAAGATACTTTCTGTCACGTGTGAGTTAGCCAGCCTCGACGGAGTAGGCTTGCCAGCTGACTTTGTGAATTATGTGAATTCATGATTAGAAACTGTACGCTTGGGATAATCATTATTGAAGAAACTAAAATCAGAATTAAAAAAAAAACTAAAACTGCCAATCAATAGTCTTATCACCCAGAAATTAATATTTTTAAGATCTGAGATTAAACCTTTCCTTAAATATACTTTTTCCAAACTTGGAGGATTGTGCTACCTGTGGTTTTATTGTTTTGTTTGTTTGCTTGAGACAGGGTCCTGCTGTACAGTCCAGGCTGGCCGAGAATTTGTAGTAATCCTCCTGCCTCAGCTTCTTGCTTGGGTGTTGGGGTTACAGGCCTGAGCCACTGTGGCCAGTCTGTGTTTTCCTTCTTGGTGAGAGATGGCATTGAAACGTATGGCAGTTGTTAGAAATGGCCGGGGACTCAACAGTGTGAAACTGAAGGGCCAGGTGACTTGAAAATCAAGCAGTGTCATCAGCGTGTTCTTATTCCCAACAGAAACCCAGACGGAGACGTGAGCCCCTGGTGCTATGTGGCGGAGCACGAGGACGGTGTCTACTGGAAGTACTGTGATATTCCTGCCTGCCAGAGTAAGGCTAACACACCCTCTGATGGCTTGGGGCCTGATAGTAAGCACGGAGCAGAAGGCACTGCCCAAGGTTAACTCCTGTTGCTGCCTTTTAGTAGCGAGTGCGAGAAGCATCATGGGCTGCAGCTTCTTCTTTTTAAATACTAGGAGTGCTCCATGGCATACCATTTCCTGGGTGTTTCCCAGGTGGGTAAGCTCAGTGAAAACTCTCCTGTTTGGTATTACTTGGGCTCAATTTCTCTGAAAAATGATAGTGACTGGTTGTATAGCACAGTATCTATTGTGTTTTTAATGATGATTCATGGCTTGGTCTCTTCAATCTTTTGTGTTTATATATGTATTAATATGCATGTGAGCATGTGTATGTGCATGTGCATATACATGCTTTATGTGTGGAGGCCAATAGTCAACCTTGAGTGTTGTTCCTCAGGAGCCGTCCATCCACCGTGTGCTGAGCCTGGATCTCTAACTGGGACTGACGTGCTAGGCAAGGCTGACTGGGCAGAGCCCTAGAGACTTTCTTGTCCTCCCCTTTCTAGCTCAGGGGTTATAGACCTATGTCAGCATGACTGGCTTTTTACATGTGTGCTGGAGACGAAGCTCTGGTTCTTAGGATTGTGGGTAAACCACTAAGCTATCTCTCCAGGCCCTCTTCAGCCTTTTAGTAGACCTGTTTCTTCACTCTTTGACCCATTCGTTTCCTTACTCAGTTGTTACATTCCTGATACAAAGGCCGGAGGATACCCGGATCCTTAGGAAGAGCTACAGTTTTAAATGAATCTTGTTCTGGGGTTTTGGGAGCTGTTGTTGTTTTGCCTGTCTGTTTGTCCTGTGATACTGTCATGGTGGCACAGGCCTATAACCCTAGCACTCTGAACACCGAAGCAGGGAGTGATTGAGTTCCAGGAAAAATAGTTGTTGGACAGCACTGGCTGCTCCTGGAGAGGACCCGAGTTTTGTTCCCAACACCCCCATCAAGTGGCTCACAACAGACAACTACTCCAGCTACTCCAGCTGCAGGGGACCCATGCTGGGACTGCGTGGCACCTGCACTCAGAAGTGTCCATACCCACATAACTTAAGAATAAAATACACCTTGGGGAGTTATATGTTCTGTTTCGTTTTGCAACAGGCTCTCACTATGTAGTCCTGACTGACCTGGAACTCACTATATAGACTAGGCTGGCCTCACACTCACAGAGAGCCACCTGCTTCTGCTTCTGCCCACCACTAGCTGACTTTTCCCCTTTCTACAAGTCTGCTCCTCCCCTGCTTTCTTGTCCTCGGGTCAGGAGGCTGTGTTTGTACTGTGATGTGGAAGTTTTCTGGGACCTAGGCTCCCTCTGCTTCTTGCCTAGGACAGTCTGAGTACTGATGGTTCCGGGGGAAGGAGAGGCAGAGCCAGCCCACCACTCCCACTGTCGCCATGCTTGCAACCTGACGGTGCTTTACTGCAGGTCTCACATGGGAACTGTAAGGACCAGAAGGATGGGCCTTTTCTCAGTCTGCTTAGCCGGGCTTTTAGATGATAACGCATCACTTGGTGGTGACTGAAGAAGGCAGAGAGGAAAGCAGATTTCCCTCGGTCCATTTGTTCTACACAAAGATGGCCTTTTCTTCAAGGGCTGCGCCATTCTCCCAGAAAGGACACAGGGTGTTTCAGTCTGGTCACTTTCATTTGGAAAGATAATGTTCAGCCCATGTTTATAAAGTACAGTTCCGGCCAGTCGGAGCTGATTCATGCAGTCATTGAAATTAGATACAAGAAGAGAAAATTGTGGCAAAATCCAACTAGTACATCTCTAACATCTGCATACTTGTTGTTTTTGTTTGTTTGTTTGTTTGGTTGGTTTTTTGAGAGAGGATTTCTCTGTGTCTTTGGAGTCTGTCCTGAAACTCGCTCTGTAGAACTTACAACCCTTGTGGTTTAGCCTGCTGAATTCTGGGATTACAGGCATATGCCACACTCCAAATTAAGGATTTTAAAAGGAAGTAATGTAATTCTGGGTGGGGAAATGGTCTTAAAATGGCATTTAAAGGCAGCTAGAGGCTCAGGAGGTGCTCAGCAGGTAAAGGCACCTGTGGGCTGGCGACCTGAGCTTGAGCCTCAGAAGCTAATGACCCTGAGGAGAGAACTTGACTCCCACACGCCACTCTCTCATCTCGCACTTGTGCTCCCATTCCAAAGTAAATGAAATGTCACTAAAACAAGCTTTGTTTGTTTGTTTGTTTGTTTGTTTTTGGTTTTTTTGAATTTGCTCTGTAGACCAGGCTGGCCTTGAACTCACAGAGATCCGCCTGCCTCTGCCTCCAGAGTGCTGGGACTAAAGGCGTGCACCACCAACGCCTGGCTTAAAACAAGCATTTAAAGGTGCTATTTTATTTTCATTGTCTGTGTGAGGATATGTGCCCATATGTGCAGATGCCCTACCCTCTGAGCCGGAGCCTCGGGTGGCGTGAGCCACCTGATATGCACGCCAGGGACTTTGTCAGGTCCCCTGGAAGCTCAGTATGTGCTCTTAACCACAGCATACCTCTCCAACTTTTTTCTTTTTAAACATTTTATTTATTTTTATTTTATGTGCGCATTCGTCTGTGTGAGGATGTCAGATACCCTGGAACTGGAGTTACAGACAGTTGTGAGTGATAGGAATTGAACCTAGGTCCTCTGGAAGAGCAGCCAGTGCTCTTCACCACCAAGCCACCTCTCCAGCTCTTAAAAAAAATGAAAAATCAAATAGAATTTTCTGCACACAGCTGATTTGGGTCTGAGGCCCCAGGCATGAAAAAATTTACCTTCTCATTTCTGAGAGCCATTTTTTTTAATCTACTCAAAACGTTCACCCATAAATCTAGCTACAAAAATTCATCTTTGAATAAGAGAAATTTGAAAGGATGAATCAATGATATTATAAAGTTCTGTTAACTTTAGTAACTAACACAATGAGATGGTGATTTATGTCTCCCGGGCTGGTCCTGATCTGTGGGATCAGGTTACCCATGTGAACCTCCTGCAGAGAGGGGCTGTGGGTCAGAGGACAGTTCCTAGGGTCATTTCCCTCTATCTACATGATGTGTCCCGGGGATCAAATCTAGCTGCCGCTGGGCTGCAGCTGCCCTGACTCACTGAACCAGCTCTTAAAAGCACGTTTTTGCTTTGTTTTTTTAAAGACAAGTTCTTACTCTGTAGCTCTTGCTGGCCTAGAGCTCCCTACGTACACCGACCAGGCTGGCCTTGTACTCACAGAGATCCACCTGTCTCTGACTCCCAAATGCTGGTGCTATGTGCCACCGTTCCCAGCTACATTTTTTTCTTAAGTTTCACCCTTGGGAGGTCTTAAGTGTTTAGAAACATGTATGTATGCATACCATCAGTGTATCTGGGCTGGAATGTGTAGCGTGAGGTCAGCGCGGGGCCTCTCTCACAAGCCGGCCAGCAGCCTACTACCAGGCAGCGTCCGGCTCCTGCAGCACTTCACGTTAGCCTGTCAGTGCCTGAATTTGTTGTTAAAGTTTGTCATTAAGGCTTTAATTAAGCTTATTACAACTCTTAATTATTACTTAAAGTTGTGAAAACTATTCATTATTGAAGTCGTTATTAAAATTAATTATTAAAGTTTAAAATCATAAGAACTTTAGGAGCCAGCAAAGATGGCTAAGTGCATAAGAGTGCTTACATCGAAGCCCGACGGCCTGAGTTTGATCCTTAGTATTCACACAATTCAGGACAAAACCAACTCCTGCCATCTGTCCCCTGGTCTCCATGCTTGCTGTGGCTTGCTGGCCCCCATGCGTACACACAGATAAATAAGTGTAAGAAAGTTATAAGAACTTTAAAAGTTGTTAGCTGTGACAAGTGGTATTTATTTCTTCCCTTTTTATGTGTGTGGTGCTGGAGGTAGAACCCAGGGCCCTGACACAAGCCAGGAGAGTTCTCTACAACTGAGTTAGGCCCCAGCCCCTATTTCTTAGGCTCTGACTATACACAAGACCTTGTACCCTGGTGTGGTCTGCAGTCTACAGAAGCCTGTATTTTAAGATAGAAGATTGTCACATGAACAGGTGAGCAGATACACAATACTCTGTAGAAGTAAGGTTGATAAAAGTCACAAACATGAAAGAGGTATGTGCCAGATGTTGGAGGAGGTTGGATCACTGGTTATCAGTAGGATTGTAAGTATTAAGGCTCTAGATCAACAGTTTCCCAACCTGTGGGTTGAGAGGCCTTTGGAGGTAGAACAACCATTTCACAGAGGTCACCCAAGACCATCAGAAAAATTACAATTCATAACTAACAGAAGTGCTGGTATGTAGTAGCAACGAAATAATTTTATGGTCTGGGGTCACCACAACATGAGGAACTTTATTGAAGGGTCACAGCATTAGGAAGGGTGAGCACCACTGCTCTAGCGTGGAGAGATGGTCCAGTGGTTAAGAGCACTGGATGCTCTTGTAGAGGACCCAGCTTTGATGCCCAGCACCCACGTGGTGGCGCACAACCATCTGTATCCCACAAGATGACACCCTCTTCTGGCCTCTGTAGACACCAGCCATGCACATGGCGCACAACATGCCGACAAAGTGCCCATACGTGAAGTAAATGAGCAGAAATTGAGCTGAGTAAGAAACCAGCCCTGAAACTGTCAAACTGGACTGTAGGAATAAACACGATGGTGGCATCAGTAACCCCAGCTCTTGGGAGGCAGTCAGTTGGATCTCTCTGTGAGTTCAGAGCCATCTTGATCTATATATATATATCAAGTTAGTTCTAGGCTGACCATAGCTACACAGAGAGACCTTATCTGAAAAAAAAGGAGGAGGAGGAAGTAGAGTGGGGGGCAGGGTAAAGGAGGCAGAAGGGTCAAAAAGCCCAGTGTAGTCTCACTCTGCTGACTCCCAGCGGGTCAGTATTCTAAAACAAGGAGGAGCAAAGATGAGATCTGAGATGATGGCGAAGCCTGCATGGAAAGTGTGGTCTGCTAGTAAGCTTCATGGAGAGGA